TCGTCCTTTGCAAGGGCCGGTGCGTCCGTTGTGTTCATGGCACATTGATGGCTTGCTGTGTGCCATTATGTGTTTGCAGGACAGCTGGGTGTATTGATTCGCCCTGGAGTGATTTAATTTTCCATAACGCATGTTGGCTGTCCGGTCATTTAATTATTGATGTTTTGGTGGGTGTGTTGCACACGCAGCGTGTGGGATTAATGCCGTCCCTATTTGCTTGGGGTTAGTATGTGGAGTAACTCGCAATTAGCGTAATCCTCATTATGCAACACATGGTTCAAACCGGATTTAATGGTCCATGCACACGACCGTTAGGTGTATTATTGATTGGTCAGTCTGCTGCGTACATAACTCAACATGTACTGGCAGATACATACATAGGGAACTAGAGCAAATCCATCACACGAAGTACAAATGGGGACTAGAGCAAATCCATTGCACTAGGTACACGGGAGATCTAGAGCAAATCCTTCACAAGGGGGAGCGGGGGGAGCTTCAGAGCTTGTGCATGAAGATCATAACCAGGAGAAGCAAATTCAGGACGCCCAACATTTAAATGTTCTTAACCATGCTTGATTCTGTTCAAGCAGTGATACGTGGCGATAGGCCAATGCATGTGAAATCAGGTATCCCCACTGTGCGCTGGAGTACGGTCTACTTATTCTCCCACATCAAAAAACTGCATCCACCGTACCGCCAAACACCAAAAACAGATGTTTAGCGAGGAGTGTGTGGAGATGGATCGAAAGGATATTGAAAAACTTACTCCATGTCGTTCGCACTTGTAGAAATACTTTCCTGGATTTTCTTCCATTCCTGAGACGAACCACATCATGTAGCGTGCATTGCAATCTAGGCAACGGATGAGAGGGAGCGGAGGCATCTGGCAGTGTGGTGTGATGGAGGAGGTGTGGAGCTAAGCTGGGACTTAGATGAACACATGCTTGTGAGGCCGGAAGAAGGAGAACTAAGAAGAAGGCTTGAGCAGGATGGGCATTGACAATCAAGCCGATTGTTTAAACAGGCCGCGGGCAGCATCATGCAGCTAGTCGTTGGGACTGGGATGCTAGTGACCCATGCCTCAATTCGATGCCTGGCCTGCCTTTTAATTTTGCATGGGATGCCTTGCCTGCCTTGCGCTGCATGTGTCAGGTGCTAATACATAGTTATACCAAATGCTATACGAGGAGGTGGAAATCGCTATACATCCCATGGGTATTCAAGTGGCACGAATCACGTGGAAACATGCGGCCTGGATACCAGCCGCGCGTGGCCGCATGTCCACTCGTGATTATTCGGGCATGTTAGTTGCTACAAACATTAGTTAGTTCATTTTTTCCTCCTTTCGCTCTTTCCTTTTCTTTTTTTATTTAAAAATATAGATATTTCGAAATTCATTTACTTAATTTTTTTAAAAGTGTTGATTGCACATTTGAAACATGTTTATGCAGTGTAAAAACAATGTTTGCGTAACTTTTATAAAAGGTTGAAAGCATTAAAAAATGGCCATGACATTTGAACACGTGTGTCAAAAAAAGTTTGTAACATTTTTACAAATGCTTAAATAATATAAAAAAGTTCATGTGTATAACTAGCAAACGTTCCCGTGCGTTGCAACGGGGGGAAATAAGTTGACATGCTTCGCTGTGAAGCAAATGGCAATTGTCCCAATTAGTTGGCATGGTAGAAATAAGTTTGACGATGACAAAAATGATGGATCAATTAACGGTAGGACTCTTTGGGGCGCTAGTCCAGAATATGGGACATGAATGCTAGTCAACTAATCGGGTGAACAACTCCATATTTTAGATTAGAGTACTGATAATAAAAATATCGCACACATAGTGCTTATTTTTATTTACTGACATCAGACAATTAAAATGTGGTATACATTGTCCAACTCCAAAGCAGGTATGCTTCTATCGTGTGCTAACCGTGAAATCCTTGTCGTATAGATGTTTTATATGTTCCTATTATGTTGCGATATATGTAGGATTAAATCTTTGCTTAGTCTATTGATCCTCAATTCATGATTAGATGTAATTTGATCTATTCTATCTTTCTTTTGTTCTGACTGCATATTTGCTTTTTTCATGCGCATTCTTTTGCCCTTGTGAGATTTTTCAAGAATGTGTTGATTAAAAATAAATTGATTAGATTCTGCATCATAATTAGAGCATAGGTAACTACTCATAAATTAATTTAATTACATTGCACATAAGCATTAGAATATATGTGTTGTTTAAATAGTAAAGTTTTACTTCTTCCATGTACCCCTTTTTAAAAGTGTGGATCATTTTGGCTTGAAGTTCATGTTTTTTTGATAAACGGCTTGAAGTTCAAGTTGATATTTGCTGTTAGAGAATAGTTTAGACAAACATAACGAAATTCAACCTGACAAAAAAATTAGCATCAAATCGGGCAACGTGCATGTACGGAGAACAAATACATGCGTGCACACGTGATGGACCTGGAGATATTTATCCGTCTGCAAAGGATCCAAACCCAATCAACAGTAATTAAAAACAGGAAAACATTTACCAGTCGACATGCGTGCACAAGTTATCACCCAAAGTATCTCGTTAGCTACCCTCCAAAAAAAAGTATCGCGTTGGCTGATTGCTAGAAGAACCCGCAAAAAGAATTGCTGGTGCTCCACGTGTCATACACGTCCATTATCTCCCCAGTTTATCTCTCCCTCTCTCTGCCTCTCTCTTTTGGCACTACACCACACCTGCCTGCAGCCCGGCAGAGCGGCTGGCTCACTCCATCACCACGAGATGGGACTGGGTGCAAGAGCGGCGGTGAGCAGTGATGGTCCGGAGGGACCCCTTCCGAGTGCGCAAGCGGCGGACGCTTTGGAGTCGCGTGCTGCTATAACTGTGGCGTCTAGTCCCGTCCTGTCCTCCTTCTCTTACAGGGGTCTTCAGGCTGCTCCGCCCTTCTTCCCTGTCGGTTTCTTCGCGTTGTCCTGAGCTCCGGCCCCACCAAGCCTACCATCGCCGGATTCCACGCGCCTAGACCAACCTTGCCGCCCTCCCATGCATCTAGCTTCCTTCCTGATGCCGCTTGCCTACTCTGTAGACCGTACATATATAAACCGGCGAGATCAATTGCAACGGAGCAATGTGGGATTATTTATGGATCTAAAAGTTACACGTGGATGGGCTAGACTGAAGCAGGCCCAATGCAGCGAGCGTCTTACCAGGCCCAATACAGCGAGCGTGAGGCAAAAACGAATTGTTTCTTTAGTACCACATCGGTCAATTCATAAAACGTGAAATCTTTTGCTAAAAAAACATAATGACGGTGAACCCGGAGACCCAATCCGTGCTTTATTATTAGGGAGAGATAATAAAATGTTTGTGGCATTGGAAAAATGTATAGAAAATGTAAAACAGTGTTTCTGTAATTCTGAAAAATATTTCATATTATTCAAAAAGATGTTCAGGCATTTCGTAAAATCTTCTTCACATTTAGATTTTTTTAAAATGTTCAGGAGTATGATGTAAAAAATGTTTATGTAAGTTAAAAAAATTAGTACCATTCAAAAAAATGTATGTAACATTTACAAAATGTTCACACGTTCTAAAAAAATGTTCATGAGATTTAAAAAATATTTATTCAATGGAAAGCAAATGTCCGTGTAGTATTAAGATAATGTTGCAGATCATTAAAAAATATATTTAAAGTGTATTTGAAAATGTTTAACATTTATTCAAAGAAAATGTTCCAAAACCTGGATTTATAAGATGTTCAATCTATATCAAAAAAATATTAGGCGTAATAAAAATGTACCACATGTACTGAAAAAGTCGAGATGTATTTGAAAAATAAAATAAGAAGGGAAATAAAAATAAATAATTATAGAAAACGAAGAAAGATTAATGAGAATCAATAAAGCCGATAAGAAACGCACAAAGAAAAAAAACGCAAGGTAGGTTCTTAAACTGGACGGAAACGGTTAAACTTCCCAAAACTGCTAACCTCAGGCCAAAGGTGGGACTGAGGGATCTCTCGGTACGGGCGAGATATAGCTCTGAGGAGGAATGGGTGAGTCGGCGGAAGCCTACTATGCGGCCCAATATGAAGAACGGGAGGGCCAGAGAGTGCCAATCAGACCGTCGGCACCCCTCCAAAAAAAACGTCGGCATCAGACGAGCAGCATTGTCACTCAAGCTCGTCTTCCTGGATTCTTCCCTGGACAGAAACAAATCACCCGTCGTCCTTCTCTACCTCCGGATGCATGTCCATCGCTGTCACAGAGCAGAGCTCCGGCACGGCCTCTTCCCATCGTCCTTTGTCGGCGCGGACGACTGAATCTCGACGTGTTCTTCCAAACAACGTTGATCATGGGAAAGAGGCAGGAAAACCACCATTCACACGCAGCGACGTGCCGGGCCGGGCGATCGGTCCAGCGAACAGCACGCACAGCGCACGGCGACGCGACGGGAAGATGGACCTCCGACCGACTGCATATACCCACGGGAACAGGGGGAGAGGGAAGGAATCAACGTCGACGTCAGGGTGTCGCGCCGTGGCGCTAGCCGACGAACCGACGGTCGCGCACGCCGGCCAGATTCACCCAACGGACACACGGCCGGCGGCCCAAGTGGCGCGGCGGTGGCTTCCAAGAAGTATCTACAGCTGCGGTCAATTCCAGCGCGTGGTTACCGCGTGCGTTCCAGTGACGTGCGTTTGAATCTTCTTTGCTATCGCGGAAACAAAAAAACACCGTTGATTGCATTTCTACAGAGCAATCGGAGCGGATCTCCTAGTGGATGAAGTAATTTCGCGGGAAAAAATTCAACCCGAAATAATGCTATTCACATCCGCTGGTAGGAAATACGGAGTACATGACAGACAAGCATATATACATGCACACATACAGGCTACGGCCTACGGGGCCCTGACCAATGTAAATAAAGAATCTCAATATCAATATGCCTAACACTAGGATGTCATGGATGCGTCGACAGATTCTAGAAGCTTCTGGCACGTCAGAACCCGCTGTAGTGGCCGCCGAACGACACGGTCGCCCTGGTGGATGCGCCACCCATCACCGACGACACGGCCTGGTTCAGCCTGGACGCCTGCTCCACGGCACGATGAATTCTCTGCAGAGCGAGCAAAACCGTCAGGAAACAGCAGGCCATTTTTTTTCACCCCTAAATGAGATTCTTCGGTGCTTTAGGCTCACTATCTATTGCAAGATTCCATGCTTCAGACAGAAAGAAGATCAAATCGTCAGGTGCAGTGGGCCATTTCCTCCCTATTCTCGAGTGCTTTGGCCTGATAAAATATACAGTGGTGTACTAGAAAGAAGGTTCTAATCTTTAAAAAGAAGCACGATCAAATTCTATTCCAATTGGATATGATGACCCAAAGTTGCTGAACTCATCAAATGTTTTTTTGTTCCTTTTTGCACCTAATATATAAGTGTAAAAAATGAAGTTTAAGTAGGCTATGTGATTGTTAGAGCATATCGTTAGGGGAACAGTGACAAGATTAAAGTGGTGAATTAATTCAAGAACACAAGGGAAGAATCATCAACCTCATCATCGGCGTACATCTGGAACTGGGACTTCTGATCTTGCACCATAATCTTCCTCTGCTGCTGCTGATGCTGCGGCCTGCCGCCAAGCACCAAGATGCACAAGGTGGCAGCGGCGACCCCGAAGGAGCAGAGCGCCCCGACGCCGTTCACCCTCAGTTTCCCGACGCTGAAGCCAGCAGCGTCCATCCCTGCCCTGTCTCTCTCCGCACCTTCTTCCACCTCATGAGGTAGATGATCAGGTGCCGCTTCCACCATCACCTCGTCCTCATCACCAGCTTCCTCTTCGGCAACAGGGGTGTTCGCCATCTCTTCCTCCTCTTCTGCACCGGAGACCAGTACCTCGGTCACCATCATCGTGAGCTCCCCTCGCCTCGGCTCGGCCTGCACGACGCCGATGTCCTCAAATTCGACGTCATGCTGCTGCTGTGTAGAGGCAGCTTGCACCGGTGCTTCCATGGCCTCTTCTTCATCTAGGATGCAATCATAGTAGGTACAAGGGTGAGATGCAGGGTGGATGGTGAAGTGGCCCATGTCGATCACGACCAAACCGGACCCAAACAAGGGCTGATCCTGATCCTTACCACCACCAGCAGCGCACTCCTCCATGAAGAAGGAGCTCCCGAGGTCAGGCAGGAGCTCCCACTCGTCCAGGCTGATCGCATCCATGGAATCCCCTCCGGTCATCGCAAGAAACAAGAGCGGATGCGATCAGGGAGTTCTTATAGCTAGCCGCTCAAACCTGCTTGCAGGCAGCTATGAGGATGCTATGGAACGGATGCTCCCCAAGAATCAAAGCAAGAAGGATACTTTCTCTTTTCTCAGGAGGGAAACAGCAGCTGAGGATGCTAGTGGGGCAGTGGGAACAATATGTTGCACCAAGGGAGATGGCAAACCAATTTAAGGAGATCCTGTGTGTGTGCCTTGCCTTGCTGCTAAGTGACAAAGCTGAAAGTGCTCTTCCGGGCCTACCAATGGGGACTAGCTCCTTCCTTCCTTCTTTCCTACTCAATTCTTTCCAGCTGCCATATTTTCCTGCAATATCAATTAATTACTTGCAAACAATCTACGATGAGAAAGTGATTCATACGGGGGGTGGTGAAAAAATATCATTATAGAACAGGTTTAGGATGTAATGTCGGCGCAGTCAAATCGTCCGACTGGCAAACTCATCCACAATTCTATAATAACCCCAAGCACCAGCGCAGCGTTACTTGGCAATCTTACTTGTACGACACAGCAAGCTGTAATCAAATATGTCCTCTCTCTTCTTTTTTTTTTTGAGATTATCAAATATGTCCTCTTAGTTACTATCAATGATCATGATGTCAATGCCACCAAATCCGAAAGGGATTTCGATGAATGTCATCTTCAAAATCAAGTTGCGTATAAAAAGCATGCTTTCAGACAGAACTGCACACTAAGTAACATAATGGATAGGGTCAAAGTTATTAAGCGGTAGATCATAAACAACAGAACTGATAAACGGAATCAACTGGGAGTAAAGATGGATAGACACACACACCAGCTGAGCACGGAGGGCAGAGGAGATCGAGACGCGTGTTTAGAAGGTTCTGCAGAAATATAACTCAGAAAAGTTGAGACTGTGACCTGAGACAGCGATGGGTAACTGTGCACAGGACAATGTAACTGGGAGGAACGAAAATGAAATGGGTCTTCGGAGTAGAACAAATTCACTTGAAAATGAGAACCATTCCAATTCAAAACTGTTCTGTTTCTTCCAAACAGCATGGTGTGAATAAAAATCAAGACAGTTTTACAATTCAGAGCAGGAGTCGGCGGCCCAGGATTTAAGCTGGCGCAGGCAAGGGCGACATAGCAAAGCCAAATTCTAACAGCAACCGAAAGAGATCGAAGAAATACTCAGATCTTCACCATACATCAAAGAGTTAACTGAAACAAAGGTCAGAGATCAGCTATCGCGTCAGCAAAGCGAAAACGCGTTCCTATATACAACAAGATGAGATCCTGAAAATTTACATTCCTGGGTCCCCACATGCGCGGATGCACGTACATAGCAGGATGGGGAAGCAAGACCAAACAATTTTGGGCCATATATCAGCAGCTAGACTATCGACCAGCATCATGAGGAAGAGGCTAGGCATGCCGTAAGGAGGATGGTTCACCCAGTGAGACGGACGCAAACGACGAAGCCCAAGCTCGAGCATTACTCGCCCCTTTACTTAGGTCCCTTGTCTTACTGCTCAGTCTAAGCTTGCTCCAGAGCCTCTGAACATCAAGCACAGTCAATGCCCGTTCCATAAGTTGGCTTGATCCCCTACGGATTCTTAAGTTCAAGTTCTGAACACGCACAATCAAGAAGGCTCTCAGTTGGGAGATGACAGTGGGGACGAAGTGTGCCGCGATCTTCATGATTATAAAAAGGGCTCCAAGAAACAGAAAGGGCTCGTCTTTCGCCATTTTGCGCAGAGAGCGGCCTCCTGGCATGGCTGATCCTAAACTTCCAGTGCTCTCTTGCTGATCAACATCAATATATGTAATTGGGTTGAGGCCTGCAGCAAGAAAAACCTCGCTTCAATGCTTGAAGTGATAAAATCAACCTAACAAACTTATCATCAATGGATGTAGCAGTGCAGTGTGCAACATATGCATATCCATTTTAAAATCAATTGAACAATGGAATAAAATCCATACTATCCAGGAATAATCAAATATGCTGCCGTTCAACATTCACAGGCATCAACAGTAAAACGTTTCAACAAGTAGATCACTGTAGCAAGACGTCAATCCTGATGTATGGGGTCAAGAGTATCGTTCATGGAATCAAGGGCGCAGCTAATTCCTAACCATGCCACACACGGTCTCCAATGTAAATGAGCACTAGACCAATCAGAAGCAAAAACAATCCGAACTTTCAATTGAAAGAACCCCATGCACAATCTTTAATTATGTTCAGGATATCGATAAATGGTACCATATCGGTCGGGTGCTAAGTAGGGATAAATAGGTGAATTGTCCAGTTAATCGGCCGATAAATCAGTTAATTGGCTATTTGGTGACCCACCGATAGCAATTAACTGAACAAGATGCCGATTAACTGGCCGATATTTGGAACAAAATTCTGAGTATTCTTCGAGTTTCAAAAGCAGACATTTGAAACAGGCTGTTAGCCTGTTACATTAAATAAACTATGTCTGCAGGAAAACAGAGGAGTAGCTATTCTCATGTGTGCATGATATTGAGTGCAAGAAATGATATCCAAAATCAAAGAACAAAAATAATTATCATACCTGTAGTCTCTTGATAGAACTGAACCAGAGACTTCAGATCTTTTGTGCCCCTGTAACGAACCATTGTAGTCTCACTTGCCAGAAGAATGGCTGGGAAGCCACGGACACCATATCTTGAAAACAAACTGCAGTCAGCAGAAGGGGTAGGATGAGCAATAATTCACTGGGCAAATAACATGTTGGAAACAAATGGGAGAGGATGTATCACTCAGGCACACACAAAAGTTTTCAACAATCAGATACCTAGGCGTCGCAGAAGATTCTTCGACAGCAAAGTGATGTATCTGAGGGAACATGGTGCTGAGAGCTTCAAATATTGGTCGAAATTTGCTCGAGAAAGGACACCATGCGGCATAGAAGAGAATGGAGCATGAGGCACCGGTACAGCGAAGGTTCAATTCTTTATCAACAGCATCTCCTCTGACCTTCAGTAGGAGGAACATATTTTAAATTATTAACAGATAGTCAATAACTACAGAAGAAACCAGAAAGTTTGCCAGATCAGCAACATGCATATCAGCATTCTTGTACGGTAAAAGAATAACATTTATATAACAGTTCTTCGTGTCTCTGCACTGTATCCTCATCACTCTTCTGTTTGCTCAAATCAAAATCTCGTTCATAATGTATGAACAGATACTCCGGAAATTACATGCTCATCTCTCTTTATTCTGAAATTACATGCAGTGAACATGTTATGCCACTCGCCCTTTTAATAACATCTGTTGGATTGACTAGAGAAGTACTTAAAACCGTAACATACAAACATGCAAGATGCAACACCACTGCGTTGTTGCGTCCTTTGGAACAGTGGACCAGAACGATAGTGTGCTCTCACATTCACAAAACCAACGGAATAAAAAAGCTTTTAATTTCCTGGTTGCAAAAATCGGTAAAACATTCTTACATGCATACATATAATAGATGCCCATCGATGACTATTGATTTCATTCCTTATTTCTTTATTCGCTTTCCTAATACTAACATGCATGTGCACATGCAAGAGCACTAGCGAAAGATACGACCAATCACGCCATAAGGTATGCGCCGCATTGGCAGTTTGTCTCCTTGCCAATAGCCAATAATATTGGCCGTTCGCTCAACAGATATAAGAAAGCACGGCACCTTGGCGGGATTTAATGCACGCTTCGACGGAAACCAAGTGTAAGACCAGGACAACGATGGATGACTATTAGATTTGCATTCCATGGGATTCTTCATGGCACTGAACAGAGCGGTGCTAGCACGGATTATGGTGGTGATGACGGGTAGTGCAGGCAACAAAACATTGGCCACCGCTGACGGTTTGTGGAGTTCGAGATGATGGCATCACCGGCAGTACTGGTGGAGATAGCTAAGGAGCCATCATGTTGCTGTGTTATTGTTAAAAAACATTAAAACTATCGTGCTTCCTAACTTTTCTCTTTCGTAAAAGGAAAATCAATGTAAATGGGACATTATGTAATAAAGTAAAAGTTTTCGAGGCTTAAATATATGTTCAAGTGGTTTAGAATATTTACATACTCCTTTTCATTTGAACTTCTATTTACATGCTCCTTGGTACCACACAATACTTTCAATGAAATTACACGGAACTTATGCTCAAAGTTACAACTAATTACTAACTGATAAATGTTTTCTATAAATTTGAAAACCAATAGTACCCAAAATATTCCCCACGGCGATGCGCGGGTAGGGCACTAGTAATGATACTTGTATTTATGTTTCCTCCTGCCTGTATTTTGAATCTAACCTAAGGGCACGAATTCGAACCAAGACAAGATTGCGTAACATATGGATGGATCCAACTGATTAGTAACTGATAAATGTTTTCTATAAATGGAAACCAATACTACCCAAAATATTCCTCGCCGCAATGTGCAGGTAGGGCACTAGTAATGATGCTAATTATGTTTCCTCCCGACGAATCAAATTCGAAACACGTCAAGCTTGCGTTAACGCATGGATCCTACTATGGCGCCTAGACACCGAAGCACCGACGCGTCTCGATTATTCTCCTTCGCTTGAGCCACCCATGTTTTGTCTGCTCCTGGTAGTTACCTGATGCTAGGCACCCACCAAGCATTGCAATTCACATCATTCCTGCCACGAATATCCCTCCCGACACACTCCCCACCCTCTACCAAAATCCCCCTCTAACGTCACCCCGCTTCAAAACCTAATCACCCGCCGCGTCAGCGATTCAAAACACTCGACATCCGCATTGTGACCAAAACATCCTGAGGAGGATACGGCGCGCGGAATGAATCTCGAGTCGGGGCTACGACGCAGGGCACGG